GGGGGTTGAAGGAGACCGGTGATGCAGAAATGATGTCCGTTTGACTGGATGTGTTCCTTACATCAGGCACACCAACAGTTGGAAATCTTTGCCGAGCAGTGAGCTCTAAAAGCTTCCAAAATTTGATGCACGCAAATATTCCACGGTCAGTCTCAAGGAGACCTGTTCGCAATGGTGGATCCCAAACATGTCGGTGCATTGCCATGGATGGATTTAATGCATCTGGTTGAAATAAACCCGTAACCTTTGTACACGTTTGAACACGTGTTATTTGGTCATGTTTTTCCTGGTGAAGACGCTCGCAAACGGTTGCTACCAGGCACGGGAAGCAAACCCGCAACTAGATGCATCACCGGATGAATGTACCAACCAAATAACAGTCACTGCAAGAATGCTCATTTCCCTTCTCCCGTGTCCCCATCTACATCCACCATAACATACACCATGTTCACCATATGTACTTTTCACCGTAAACACCGTATATCGCATTATGGCTTATTAGCTCCTCCCTCGTTCACACAATCATCACTCACTTTGACACAGCAAGGCAAGCAGGTACCTGTCAACTTTGTATTTCGCTTCCCATCAAGCGCACCCAACGTGGTGCGCTTCAAAGCAATGGGTTGATGCGGCTGGCAATCAACCCAAACATCGCCCAAGCCCCCAACAGAGTGACGCGGCATGACGGCATACATGCGGGTGTGGTGAATGCTGACGTGACGCCCCGATGGCCGACGTTGGCCCCCAGGGCCCACCGTACGGCCGGGATCACCCCCGGTCCGACTGACGCTCTAATGTACAGGCAATGGGTTGCATCACGATGATGATGGCGCTCTAATGGGCTGGGCGTCCCGCGGGCGGGCCGGGCCCATCATCCAGACCGAACCGCTCGTGGGCAATGGGCCGGCAGGTGGACCCAGGAGAGTGAGGGCCCACGCGCTGCTGCGCTTCTCCCCCCTCCGCACGCGGCAACGATATGAGGTGGGGCCCCGCTTCCCGGGCCTTATGCGCGAGCGAGGATTCTTAACTTGGGAGTGGCATGGCGCTGAGACGGCGTGTTTGGATCCGCAGGCCGCGTAGGCGGCCGCTGGCGCTGCGGCTCTTGGCGTGGCTGCGCGGCGGAGGGGGCAGCGAGCCAGAGAAGCGCGCCCAGGGCCAGGGGGAGGGCGGGGAGAATGATGCGGCGTGCGCCAACGGCTGCGCGGATCGGCCTTCCGACCCCGGGGGGCCTCTCGCTCTGCACGGGCGACGCAGCGCCGGCCAGGGCGCTGCCCCCGGCCGCGGGGGGGATGCTGCGATTGGCGTGGAGTCCACGCTGCGCGACATACCGCTGGACCAGCTGGATGTCGAGGCGCGGATGATGCTGTCGCCCAAGCGCATGCGGGCGCCTCTCCGGCGCGTGTACAAGTGGGGGGAGCTGCTGGGCACGGGGGGGTTCGCCGCCGTGCGGCTAGTGACCCACAAGCGCACGGGCGAGCGGTGCGCGTGCAAGGTGATGAAGCTGCCGGCACGGGACGCGCCGCCGCACGAGCTGAGTCGGGCTGAGGTGTTCAGGGAGATCGAGATCCTGTCCAACACCAACCACCCCAACGTGCTGGCGCTGCGCGAGTTCCACGTGGGGCGGGAGATGGTGTACATCGTGACGGAGCTGCTGCAGGGCGGGATGCTGCTCGACGCGCTGCTGGAGAGGGAGGAGCACAGGTACACGGAGGACGACGCGCGGATCGTGTTCAGCCAGGTGAGGATCCCGCCGTCATCGATGGATTTTCGTGCCGATGCGGTTGCCCTGGGTTGGCGGATCCGGGGCCCTTGCACTCTGGCGGGCGACGCCAGCCATGCGCGCACCCCAAACGCTGCCAGGCGCTCGCGCGCCTACTTCCCCGCCCGTAGCCGGATGGGATACCCGAATGCTGCGGGGAGCAGGGGGGCTTGATCCGTGATACTTCTCAGTACATTAATGGATTCATTGTCGTCGGGCGCGTCTGGTCGTGGTTGTCCATTTGCTGACGACCGCCGCCCGCTGCGTGGATGCGCTCCTTCTCGCGCCTGCGGAGGCGCGGGGCGCCACTGAAAAGAGGGTACAACTGCGTTTCTTGGTGGACGGGTTTCCGCTGATGACGAATTTGTCCAACCTACAGGAAGCAGTTGCCCTGCGTGCGTCGCGTGCAGTTGTTGGATGCGCGGTCGCACACGCCTGGTTTGCGGGCCATCCTTGTGGGTTTACCGAATTGGACTCGCGAAAAGAGAGAAGAGGGGTTGGGGTTGGGGTTTGGGGAGTGGCGGTTCTCGTCGGCTTGAGTCAAGCGAGCACCGCAGCGGTTCAGGAACAATTTTTGAGTGCCAGGCGCCATTGGACTGTGCGCTCTTGGGTCGTTGACCAGCTCGTGGCAACAGAACTTGATTCACATGGGTGTTGTGGGCGTGTGTTGCTGTTGTTGTTGGCGGTGGATTGGGGGCATGCGTTGCAAGCTGACGAGGCATGATCCCTGCTGCTCAAACCCACAGAAATAGGCACTACAGCAGGGAACCCTTGGCAAAGAAGGGAAAGGCAACGAGGCCACGGACATGTGGCATGAATTCTTTGCTTCGTTGGGCTTGAAGGCCCTCTGTACGACACTTGGCACAGCGATCTGTGGCAGGAGCAAAGGGAAAGACGAGATGTACACAAGAGCGTCTGTTGAGTGTCAACTTTTGGGGGCCAGTTACAAAAGGGTGTGCCCAATCAATCCACACTGTGTAGAAAAACTAATGTACAACACTAAGGCGCCGAAGTCGTTGTGCCTGTTGATGCTTTTGTTTTGGTTATGACATAGAGGATCAACACCACAAGGTGTCAGGTCTCTGTCCCCTGCTGGAAAATGTCCAAATATGCAGCGCCTGGAGCTCAATTCCTAATGGCGTTTTGGCTACAGTTGCAGTGTATGCACAATGGACACGGGAGAGTGCCCCGTGTGCATTGTTTGCCAGTACAATCTCTGGAGATGCTGCGCGCTGTAGGCTCTGGTTCTGCTGCTGTCACGTCGCCCATAAAATCAACACATTTGTCAGCCCTCTTTCCCATGTTGGTGAGCCCAAACATCCGCCATTGAAACTGCTGCATGTGTGCTGCTTCAGTTGCTGGAGGGCGTTGGCTACCTGCACGACCGCGATGTAGCACACCGCGACCTGAAGCTGGAGAACCTGTTGCTTGTGGAGAAGGGCAATATCAAACACATCAAGATCGTGGACTTTGGGTTGGCGAAGCGCACCATGAATGCCATGACTACTGCAGCAGGTACGCCCCAGTTTGTGGCACCAGAGGTGCTGCGGCGGGAGGTTCAGGCTTATGACAAGTCAGTGGACATGTGGAGTGCAGGTGTCATCCTGTACATTCTGCTGGCGGGCTTTCCACCATTCTATGACCCAAATGAGGCCGTGATGTACTCCAAGATCAGGTCGGGGCAGTACAGCTTTGCGGATCCAGTGTGGCAAAATGTCACCAAGGCGGGCAAAGACCTGGTGTCCAAGCTGCTGCAGGTAAGGAGTGCCTTTTGGTCAGAAGGAACGCACCTTTGCAGGGGGCAGCAAGGGGTGACACACTGGCTGTGGGACATGTCTCTTCTGAATGCAGATGATCAGATTGCGTCAGTTTGTGAACAGTCCACAAGGACTCCGCGATGTGTGTGAGTGAACAACCCAACCCTCACACCGTCTGGGCGCATCACTACTGAGCACAGATGATCGGAGAGTGTCAGTCTACAAGCAGTCTGCAATCACCTTGCAGTGCTTGCCAAGAATGTCTCAGCCCCCTTTTGGCGTCTGGACTATTCAGTGTGATGTACTGAGTAGGAACGGGAATCGTCATCGGGGTGGCCATTGAACTGGAAGATTGTTGCATGACTGTTGTTCTTCTCTCGAGCCAAGCATGTCAGAATTTTGCCACGCTACAAACGCGATTGGTTTGATTTCAGCTTGTGCTTTCCAAAACGGGAACGTCCATAATGCCTTCCGCATGGTTTGGTAAAAAATTGTTCGCTCAGTTTCTTATGCTGGATGCTTATAACTCTCCATCCTACTGAATACAACACAGAAATGTTGAAGCCCTGCAGTGCAGAACATCATACTTTGCAAACGACGTGTGCTCTGGTTTGCTGTACAGTTGTCCACATTGACAGATCATATCCCCCTGCATAGATGATGCATCTGCAGTTGTGTCTTCATGAACCTGTCCATGATGAGGCAACTCAACATGAGCACAAACTCGATCAAGTGACAGATTTCAAAACGGCCTGCAGGTGAACCCCACCCAGAGGCTAGACGTCAGAGGTGCGAAGGAGCACGAGTGGATGACGGGCGAACTGCCCAGGGAGGACTCTGCACCCCTGGCGGCAGCTCACGCCAAGCTGGCCCACCCCAAGTTGCTCAAAGCTGCAGGCATGGTGGTCATGGCGATCAATGGTATGAGGCGGGAGCAGCTTGGGGAGCAGCTGGAGTTGAGCTTGGGAAGCAGCCAGGAGCAGTCTGAGGAACTGTCCTTGGCGGGTATGGTCGGAGAGAAGAGCAGCCATGGCGAGCACCATGCTTTGGACTCTCAGGAGCTGGCTGAAGAGGATGGGGGGAGCCTGTTGTCACCATCGAGCCCTGCTGGAATGAAGGACAGGGACCGCCTGCTCTCAGTGGACGCCCCCATGGGCGCTGCGCCCGACCACATTGACCCACCCCACGAGGGCTCGCCAGGGCCAGGCCACCATGGGAGGCAGGTGCCAGATGGAATGGTGTTGAATTCTGTGTCAAATGCTGGGCAGCCGGCAGCCACAGGCGCCGCTCCTGAGTACTTGAACCTCACTGCCGTCCTGTCCTTGGGGGATGAGCATCACACGAGGCGCGCCTCGGATGGCAACCTGCTCACCACGGTTTCGGATGGAGCTGAAGCGCTGTCCAGCTATGGGAATGCATCCCCTGTGAGCTACCCTGGTAGGGGGGGCCTGGCCGGGTCCCCACCCCCTGGTAGGGAGTCGCCGGTGAGCTACCCTGGCCGAGGGTTGTTGCCAACATACCTGCAGCCCTTTGAGGAGGAGGCGGATCCCCCGTCGGGGTCTGAGCCTGCGAATGGCATAGTCAGCCGCAAGATGCACGATCGGCCGTCCTATCCCACATTCAAGTTGGTGAAAACAGAGGGTGGGCAGCAGGGGAAGAGGGCCAGAGTGGGCAGGCAAGGGAAGGGCAACAGATCACTGTCCCTTCCAGCGCCCCGCCATAAACAGAGGTAGCGATTTTGGAAGGGCATGCTGCCACAACAGAGGTGGCCACGGTGCGCGGAGGGGAACCCATGTTTCACGTGCCACATGCACATGGTCATGCACAAGCATCTGTGGTTGCCGAAATGTTGGGTCCCCAGGGAATTGTGGGAGGTGGTGGGAAACGTTTGCGGTATTCTTTTTAAGGGGCTGCTGTTGCGCTTGCGTTTGCCAGGTTGGGCGACATGCGGCCGGAGCGCATGCTACCTTGCTGGAACGACATTATTTCCATTATTTGATTTGGCAGTTGGGACTGAGATTGCTGTTGGCCCACTGAGCAAGTTGTAAACACGTTGGTGCCATTGTGAGCAATGCACAGGCATCAACAGGGTAGATTTGTGCACTTTAGGAACGCGTCCTGTGTTGCACAGAACAGCAGTGCGCAGAAACCAATGCAGTTTTTGATGGAAATTGTCAGTGTTCAAAGACCGTGGATTCGCAACGTGCTAGTCTATGGATTTCAATTTGAGCGAGTGATGGAGGTGAAGCAAAAGTGTGGGAATGACGACCGCTGCCTGGCGCTGTATCTTGGCTGAAGCGGCGACGAACTGATGAAAGTTGGCTGACACCGGGAAGACACAGGGGAGACACCAGGAACTTTGTTGGGGCCATCCCATTCATGGGGGATCATTGGGCATGGCTGTGAATGCTCCAGAACGAGTAGCAATAGGGCAAAGATGGCTGTTCATTACGGCTCATTTTGCGGTAACTCGAACAACGCCGTGAACTTTGTGCTCGGTGTGCCGCGACTCCAGCGGTACACAGTCTGGGCGGGGAAAGGGTTAAACCCCGCCCGTGAACGGAGGCATCTTGCCCTCGGGTGGACGGATGCCGCCCCCAGCCTCCCCCAACGCAGGTCTTGGGCAGTGGAGCCTGTTTCCGCAATCTGGGAATCTGGGTGGAATTGAGATTGGCAGGGTGGGCAGCTTCTACGACCACCTGGCCTGCGGGGCCGCATGACTCACCATATCCGCCAGCAGCGGGGGCCGCTTGTCGCCCTCAAGTCCATGAGCCCTCCAGGAAGACCGGCTGAGTCATCAAATCTCGTCGTCGACCAGGTTCGTCGCGGCTCCTACTGAAGGGCGCAAGTCATCGCCTCCCCATCCCCCGTCCCTGATGTACAAACGGGCCCCTGGGCCCGCTGTTGGCCACGCAATCAGTCGTCACGCCAACAGGGGGGGGCAGCCCGCCACCACCTTCGGGGACCCAGTCACGACCCGCCCCGCGCCCTTTGACGCTGGGCGGTCCGGTCCACGTGCGCAGGGGAATGTGCCTGACGTCCGCGACGGCCTTGCGGATAACGCACCCGCTTGGCGCACCCTCCGCTCGGGAGAAGCGCCCCGCGCGGTTGTTGTGTGGGCGGTGCGGGCAGGCAAGCATCAGGGCGGCCGGCGGGGATGCCGCTGTCGCATCTGCCCGGCATGTCGATCGGGTTGGCGCGCACGGTGTCGGCAGGGGCGGCGGGTGAGGGCGGGGTGCAGATTGACGCGGTGCCCGCCGGGGGGGGGGACGGGCACATGGCGGCGCTAGACCTGCGGCCGGGTAGTGTGGGCGGCGGGGGGCCGGGCTGCGACGCGCTGAGGATCGCCATCAAGTTCCTGCTGAGCAACGTGGGCGCTGGCGTGGTCATCGGCAAGGCGGGGTCCAACATCACGGAGCTGCAGGAGATCAGCGGCGCGCGTATACAGCTGTCGCGCAACAACGTGTTCTACCCCGGCACGGTGGACCGCGTGCTGCTACTCACGGGCATGGTCAAGAACGTGCTGGTGGCGCTGTACCTGATCCTCGTCAAGCTGGCCGGCCGCGCGACGGGGGTGGGCGCCGCGCCCCCCGCCACCCCTCCCGCCAAGGCCGCCAGCCAGGGCGGCATTCCCCAGGATGGCCCCGGAAGCCCGAATCCCGCCACCGAGTCCATGGCTCTGTGCACCAATGGCGGGTCGGGCGCAGGCAGGGATGCGGAGGCAAGTGACGTTCCCACCCAGCTGAAGATCGTGATGCCGGCCGCGGTGTGCGGCGCCATCATCGGCCGGGGCGGCGAGACGATCCGCTGCTTCGCCGAGGACTCCGGCGCCAGCATCTCGGTGTCGCCCATGGAGCGCGGCGGGCCCAACCCCGGCGATCCGCGCCCGCCCCGCATCGTGACGGTCACCGGCGGGGTCAACCAGATCCTGCGCGCCGTGGCGCTGTTGGTCACTACCGTCGCGGAGGACCCCAACTACGTCAACAACGTCGGGATGTCCGTGAACTACGCCCCGGCGCGATGCGGCCCGGCGCAGCTGCCCTGCGGCCCCTTCCCGCAACCCCGGGACCCAGTGGAGCTGTTCGGATTTGGCGGGCTGCCGCCGAGGCAGGGCTTCTCGCACCCCCAGTTCTCGCATCCCTACGAGCCGCAGCCGGCCTTCCAGCCCCCGCCGGCCGTGGTGGAGGTCAGCATGGCGGTGCCCGACGAGCACGTGGGCGCGATCATCGGCAAAGGCGGCGAGATTCTGACGCAGCTGCAGGCGCTGGTGGGCGTCAGGGTGACGATCGCAGACCGTGGGGATTTCCAGCCGGGCACGCGCAACAGGGCGGTGTGCATCTCTGGGCCCGTCGAGGCCGTGCAGGTCGCGCAGATGCTGGTGTCGCAGAAACTGAACGCCAGGCTGCAGCGGCTGCAGCGCTGAGGGGAACGGGCGAGGGCGAGATTTGTCCCAAGGAGAAGCGGGCCTTGCGCACAGGGCGCCCACCCCTGGGCAAGTGTGCTCGAGACTCTTTGGCATGCTCGGAAAAAGAAACGGTTCGTGTACAAAGGAGGGGCCCTCCTCGGCAAGCGTGTGCGCTGCTCTTTTCCATGCTGTGATGAGCGGGTGAGGGTGATGGCCGGCTGAGGTGGCAATTGACGGGCAGGGGAGCGGCCGGGGAGGGAGTGTAGGACGGTTGATTGGGCTTTGGATGGGGTTTGCGGGGTTAGGTTGCAGGGAAGGGCCGCACTGCGGCAGAGCCAGGATCTTGGCGAGCTGTGTTGAGGCAGCTGGGGGTGTGGCGTCCTGTGCACATGCGTGTGCTTGGCCTGATGTGGGGAAGTGGCCCCATCAGCAGAATGCTGTCGTGCCCGGTCAGCAGAGATTGCAGGGCCTAGCCAGGAACAGCATGCGGTGCACGAAATGTGCTGATGGAAAGAGGGGGCTGTGAAGGGCAACGGGCTGCTTGCCCCTGCAGCAGGGGCACCGAGAATGTGTGTGGGCCGGTCAGTTCGTGTGTGCATGAAATCTGCTTTGGGGAACTGCATGGAGCTGCGGGTGCAAGGCGCAAGGGAGCCTGCTGGGACTCTCACTCACTGTTGGGACTGAGGCTCAGACAGTTCTGTGTATTTTGCTTGCTCGTGGCCTGCTGTACGCTTGGCTGGGAACCTTCACAGCTTTGGTTGCAGGCTCCCTTCTTTCGTCATCAGCCACTGGGGGACTGGCCTAAGTTCCGTGCAAACGACAATTCGGGGTGGTGTGCCACACGCTTGAGGCACAGCGGTGAATGTATGTGTGCGTTTTGGTGGATGTGTCTTAGGAGCAGAGAATCGCTGAACTGCAAGTGGGTGGGTGTTGAGCAGTAAAATGGAGTGGCCACAATAGTACTGCAACCATGGGTGATGTCACAGCTGTGGGGGCTTTCCTGGCAACATAGAGATGGCTAGTTTTTTAGGTAAGGGCAAACATCATCACAGCAGTGGCAGGCACTTGCAAACAACTCTCCCCCAAATAGAAAGCCTGGCCGTTGTCTTGGCTGGGATCGCTTGCAGAGCTCTGTCGGCCCATTCTTGCAGAGCGGTAGATTGCAGAACCATTATCTTGAGCCGCGTTAAAACCCTGGCAGGCATGACAGGTTCAGGTTCATGTCTGTTGGGCAGACGGCACCAGGCTGTGCTGGCCAGAGCGCCAGTGTTTGGCGGACATCAGGGCACCCAGTTCTTCAGCTTGGGCGTGTAGGACCAGCACTGTGGAGCCAGTGCACGCACAGCCAGTGGTGCAATAAGAACGGCAGTGGCAGTTGCCAGAAATTTTACCATAAACCTGAGGCTCCCTGCCCAAACCTCCGTTCTCTGCAGTGGGGAATCAAAGTTGCATTCTTGAACGGATTGTCTAGACAGCTGGTGGGGGGGGGGGGCAGAGGGCCGCACTCCTGCAGTGCCACAGATCAGATTCTGTTGCATTGTTCAGATTGTGCCCATGGAACTGCTTCATGTGGCCACCAGAGCATGTACGAAGGACGGAACATGCTTTGAGTCATGGTGCTGCTGTCTCAAGGACTCTTGCCGACGGTTTGGAGCGAAACGTACACGCTCGAGGCTTCGTGGGCGGTCCTGCCCAAGATTAGGTGCAATGAAGTTTGAATCTCCCTGCGAATCGGTAGTTAGAAGGTTCTGGGCGTTGGGGCCCACTGCGGCGGCGTGGGCCCACAGGGATGCAGCCCTGCAGCCAGGTCCGTTTGATTGACATTGAAATGTTCGTGTGCTGATGAGCGCAGCTGCGAATTTTAGCATTCACAGATTGGGAGCACGGGGGAGGCGGTCCATGTGTGTATGTTGTAAGCTATGACTGTATGTGCAGTTGCCATTTGTGCTCATGCGTTGCTGCGTGTCCTCAGCCAGTCAGAGAGTGTTCTGTAGTTCAGCAGTGTGGAATCTTTTGTGAATTCTGCTGTGAGCGCATCCTGGGCGTTTCTCATCCGCCTTCACCCAGAGCGACACAAGGCGTCACCTTGTCGAGCTGCTCGCAGCCTGTGCTCATGCCGCGAGGCAAATCGGTTGGGAGGGAGGCATGCTTTGGATCAGGAGGCTCTGGAATGGCGCATATCACGGCTTCGAATGACATCCATCCTTGGGGCGACGGGCACCGGGCAAGTACAAAGTTCAGCCCTCGCGCCTGTGCAAGTTGGGGCCAGCCTGGTGCCTGAGGCATATTTGCATCTGTCCGCGACACCTGGTATTGGTCGCCATGACG